CTAAACTATATTTGGTCACACATAGTTGGACCTGTAACCAAAATAGTGTCTTCAAGGTCCATATGCAGCCCTGAGATTCTGCCCATTGATTGATGATGTATTTTGATTCCAACTCCTAATTTCTTATTAACATACTAAAATATAGTTGTAAGTGCAGATAGTCCTCGACTTATAACCATTCATTTAGTTACCGTTTGAAGTTACAATGGCACTGAAAAAAAAAGAAAAAATGACTTTGGTTTTCATACTTATAATAATTGAAGCATCCCTATGGTCACATTATTGAAATTCTTGACAACTGGTTTTTATGACAGTTGCACTGTCCTGGGGTCATATGATAACTATTTGTAACTTTCTAGCTGAAATCTGATAAAATCAATAGGGGAAGCCAGATTCACTTAACAACTTCACGGTTCACATAACTGCAACGATTGCTTAGCAATTATGGCAAAAAAAGGTCATAAAATGGGGCACAACTCACTTAACTGTCTTATGTAGCAACATAAATGTTGGGCTCCATTGTGGTCCTAAGTTGAGGACTACCTTTAGCAATTTCACTATCCATTCTGAATATTGAAAAAGCCAGCTTTATTTATTGTAATTGGATTTCTGCAAAATACTGTTTTTACACTCTATAGAATATTGTGTTCTGTTCCACTATGGATGTAAGGGAGGATTCATAACTCATATTCCTGTCTGCTATTTCCTGAATTCTAAGAATCTGAATCTCAGTGTCATGAATTCATATAAGAATTTTTTTTAACGTGGATAACCTCTGAAAGTCTTGGAATTTGTTTAAAGCGAGAAACTAAGAAATGTACAGATTTCAATAATACATTAACCTTTCATAGCAAAATGGATCTAACACCTACTAAGCCTTAATACTTTATCAACACTCTTGAACATTTTTTTTGTTAACATTTTTTAAAAAATAGAAAAATTATACCTTACATAGTTTTCCCAAGTGGTTTATTTGTTAGGTATGGAATTATAAGCATGTACACATCCATTTTATATCAACAGTTTCAAATTCTTTCCTCTATTTCTTATATTCTAACCTTTGTGTGATGTTTCCTTTCAGTAAAAATACACACAGAGAATCAGTACCATATATTAATGGACAATAGATTGAAACAAGCTTGTTTCTGTGGAAATTTTTAATACCAATATTTCACTTGTTTTGAAAAAGACCAGAATGATGCAATATGAAACGGATCAAGGAAAGATGTGGTATAGGGGCACTTTGATGAAAGGAGGAAATAAAAACAGCTTCTCCACAGAAGTACTTGAAAATCTCTTTCATGGTATTTTCATTGCTTTCAGACAATGACATAATAAAAGCAGTCTTATTCAGTACATTCATTACTCTGTAATTTTATAATTGATGGTTTAACAGACTAGCAAGTTTCAAACCTATTTATTGCTACTGGAGATTATAAATTGGTAAGACTTTTAATATTCAGAGATTGCAGGTCTTGAAGTATTAGAAATGCACAAGAATTTTTAGGTTGTGTGTGTGTGTATGTGTGTGCATACATACACACACACATATATTCCTTGGGAAAGTAACAGCCATTTTATGAACTAAATTAGTTCTTGATCTATGTTAAACATTGGAGTGTGTGTATATTGTTACCTGCTGAATATAGGTAAAAAATAAAGCATAGATTCACCAAATAATTTTTCTGCAAGCATTGAAAATAAGTTTTGATATCAAGCATTGAAAATAAGTTTTGCTGCTTACTCTTGGTTGCAGAAATGCACATGGTTTGTTATATAATAAAACCTTGTACTTCAAATGTTCTAAATATGTCTCACCACATAGAAAGCTGAAACTTTACTTAATTTTCCTATATTGTAGGAAAACCCTAAATTTCTGCTAGACTATAGCATAGTAATCTATAGTATAGTATACTATAGCATTGTAAACAGTATAGTGTATTATAGTCTTTCCTCTTACTTGCAAATACATGAAAATGCTGTTTCTATCAATATTGTTATAATACAAAATTCTAAATGTGCAAAAAATGTTTAAAATTCCAAAAGCCAGAACCATTTTCTAAAAAACAAAATCTGTTCAGTAGATATACATAAAGACAACTAAATGAAATGGTCAAGGATCTAAAAATAGCAACTATAGTAGTTATCCTAGGTGATTAAATAAAAGCTAATTTTCCCACTCAAATTGTGGGATTTAGCTTTAGCTTGACAAGGTTCATCTAAATTAAATCTTACTGGAAAGTAACAACAATCATTGGCAAATTTATTAAACAAGCCTTAAGTACTAATCCTAAAAATTCCAATGCATGTATAACCGTTATTTCTCATGCCAAATTTTATATTATACATTTTTCTAAATTATGGTAAATGGTTTATTTAAAAAAAAATCTAAATGCTCATATGGATATTCAAAGTATGGTCATAAGCCCTTGAGATCTGATTACACTACACATTAAATTAGGAAAAAATTAACTCCTCTAAGTACTGACATATTTCAGTGGTACAATTGGAATCTAATGTCCAGAATTTATTCTGATTATGAACTGATCATATTCTTTCCTAATTTTAATTATAATCTATTTTGTTGTTGTGAACTTAATTTAAAAAGGGAAACCATTTATTTTCTGAATCTTTTAAAAATGAAATATCGAAATTGCACAGGATGTCTATAGAATTATTAGAAATTAGAATTAGAAATCTTTCAAATGCTCTTATTAAACTGAGACTGTACATGGTCTAAATGTATATAAATATTATTATTCTTAAGTTTTTAAAATAATAACTTTTAAAGATGTCAAATCAGCATATTTAATACTGAATACTTGGCCAAGTGTGATTAGGCACACAAAGAATTTGTCTCTGGTTCAAATAAAAAAGAATAGCACTAAAAATCTTTAGCACTATAAAGTCTAAAATTAATTCAATTTCCCCTTTAATTTTATATGTGAGTATATGTGTCTGTGAACAAATTTGTTTAACTGCCTGCCTATCTAGAATGCTGTTGTTTGGAAAGGCATACAATCTTAATGCCACAAATACTGGATAACTTAATTGAAGTAGCCTTGAACTTAAACAAGTCATAGTTGATAGTTCCAATGAAAAAAATACCAGCTTCACTTAGAATAAGGAATTTTCTATAGAAGCAAGACTTGACCAATCTGTTTAAGAGTCAGGAAATGTTCCATGTGCAAATGCGTTAATTGTATTCCTTGGCATTGAAAGAATTAGAGAACATGTGTTTGCATAGATCTCCATATGCACATCAGAACATTTAAAGAAGCATTTATATAATCACATTAATAATTTTACATCATATTCAAACTGGAAATATGAAATTTTCTATTTTGATACTAAATTGTAATTTGAAATACTTAAGCTTCATCTTGTTTTTTTAAAAATATTTAATGTACTAAAAGAGTTAACATACACATTTCTATTCACTAGTCACACTTAAAATTCCAGTGTACTGTCAACTGGAATGAAGGCTTAAGTTGTGCAATAATTTCTGATGAATTGCATGAAAATATACTTTTTAAAAAACTTTTTCCAGATCACCCTATATCATGGAGATACTGTTGTTAAAACCTATATGCCAGGTCTGCCCACAATAAAATGAGTTTCTTCAAAAGGGAAATCAGGGAATAAATATATAATACATTAGGACTCATAAAAAATCAGTGCAATATTTATTGGCAAGAATGTGTGACACCAATGTAAAAGAATAAAAATGTACAACTTAATCCTCTTCAAGAAATTCACCATCTAATTTCATAGTTTTGTTACATCCAGCATATTGACATATAATCACAATTGTGATACATAGTAATTTTAGTCAACTGAGTTTTGAGTTCTGATGCTAGGTTGTAATCGATAGATACAAAACAGCTACTCTTATTAACCAAATAGTCACTCTTGTTATAGCTATGATTAATTTACATTCCTGTTTTCAAAAGGATTTGGTATATCATTAATTGTTTGGTGCTACATAGGCAAGCCATGTCCTTATTCCTTCCTCTCTTCTTTTCATGGCATTTTTTACTTACTAGGTTAATTCTGAGTTTCAGAAAATCATTTATGGCTGTTATATTAAGAGTATCATTTGTGCTTGCCTTATAAACCAGGATTTTAAGGAATTAGGATTTGATTGCTTGGCATTACACGTGAACCAGCCCATTGCATTACACGTGAGCCAGCCCATTGTAACTGGATTGAAATATGCATATTAAATCAGCATTATATTATTTTTCTTAAAAACAAAAAGGTCAGTTAGAAACAGCTTTAACTAAAAGCACCTAATAACTAAATCAGGTGCTTTTGGATGTCAGCTGTTCTACATTTATTTTTTTCACTAGAATCTAGTATAGAGATAAGAAATGATTTGGGGTGCACCAATCAGGCCAGGATAGTGGCAACCAAAGGTTCAGCTGATGATAATCTGATGAATCAGGCAAAAATGAGTCTTCCAACTAATTGGTTACTGTGACTTAGAAGCACGAAGGACCATTTCCTTTTCTGTCATTGTGGCTGAAGCATAGGACTTGGCGAAAGCGAGGTAAAGGAAATCATACCACCTTTTCTGAACCTATGTGTGCAACAAGTTGTGAGAATAAAAAAAACCGCACTAAATTCAATCACCCTTGATTTGATTTTAAAGCAAACATTTAAATTAATGTTAAAACATTTTATGTAGGAATTACTAAAATGGATTATAGCCTGTATGTTTACTTGATACCAAATCTATTTCTGGGATTTTAAATTTGTATGTGTGTTTGTGTATCTCTCTCTGTGTGTGTATACACACACACACACATATACACACAAATACACACAATGCTCCAGGCTATGAAATCAATTTTAATTTACATACTTATCATTTTTCAGTAACTTCTAGCAAAGTTTTCAGAATATTTCTAAAGAGATAGAGGTAGGAATAAATTTGATTTTGTTGAGGAATATTTTTAAGCAGGATACAAAAGGAAGCTGATATATATCATATTTTGTGAACCATTTTCATTTGGCTTTTGGAGTAATTTCATTAAAAATCCCCAAGGTAAAATATAAGTTCATCTTAATTGTTCTAAATGCACTCTTCTGGGGGTGGGAATTAAAATCACGGCATTAAATTCATATAGGATTACACCACACACAGTACATGTGGAACTTTAACATGAGAGAAATAAATCAATAACTGAAAATCAATTATCTATTTTAATTTTGTTCTTCATATTGCCAAATTCTATAAATAATTTACTAGAACATACAGAATAATCTAAACAAAAATACAATGTATAACTAGCATTGTCATTAGATATTATGTGCACAGCATTCATAGTTATCATTTTGTGATGTACTGGAAATGAGTTACTGGAAAAATTAGGCACAGAGATTTTTACATGCATAAAATGAGTATCTGAAAAACTAAGTATTAGGGTTAAGGAATCATATCCAAAACTGCCCTTCAATTCAGAGAAGACACTTTATTCCAGCAGAAGTTCCCATAAACAAAAGGGAGAGAAAGGGCCTGCTTCCCATTGTTTTCAATTCTCTGGAATACGTTTTGAAGAATAGACACAATCTCTTTCCTCACTGCATTCATGGAAGGTTTGGTCGAATCAAAAAGCTTTTCTGAGGAAAACAACATCACTGGATACTAAATAGAATTATTGTCTTGTTCCAAGTGTTCAATAAAATGGAAATAAAACATTTTGGAGTCATAGATTAAATTTTGTAAAAATATAAACATGTGTTAGATTACACATAGCAACTTTACTCAGCTCTTCAAGGTTAATTTAGAAGCAATGGTGATACTTAAGAGCTTTGTTAAGTATCATGTTTTGCTTCCATGTTGGAACTTCATTTCCCTTTTTCTACTTTCTTGGTACAATCTAATTTTGCTCTATATGATTTCCTAAACCTCTAGAGCAGATTTGATGGTTGGTAAGTGAGAGGAAACATGTTCCACTGGTGGATTCTATCTTGCCTGGAATGACATGACTGGATACCGCCCTAAGTTTTCTTTAATACTAGCATAAAATTTAAAGAACGATATCCCCTCACCCTTTTAAAAAAAATCCAGATTAAAAACTGCTTCTTATTCAACTATTCTCTCATTGCAATTTCAGCAGGAAGTATATTTGGATAGATTGCAATTGTTGTAAAATTCTTTGTTACTTCTTATAGGTGGAAATTCTTGTAGGCAGCAAATTTACTACCACATTTATGGAAGTAAATGAAAAAGTTACAGTACAAGATATGCAGATAATGGAAGCTGCTACTGTATGGGAATTACCAAACATTATAGCAAAATTGAAAATAGGAATAAATATAAAATAGCTAATTTTTCACACGTCATTTACTTTCCAAAAACAGGATGGGGAAATCATCATGCTTTCCTCATATAAAGCACCTTAAATTTTTGAGTTATTTGAAACTCAAGAAAAAAGGATATTGGATGAAATTCACCATGGTCTTTTAATATAAAGCCAATTAAAATTATTTTTAGATTAATAGCTGCTTTTGTTTTTGATGCAGCAGATGAAATACCATATACCCTACATTAAAAGTTTATGTAACGAATTTACTGATCATTAAGATTATATAGGACCTTTAGAAACATCCAAAGTGGTTTAATAATATTGATGGTAAAGTATAGATAGTGAGATGGAGATAAAGCGAGTATGTATAATGAGGGAAAGTAACTTGTGTCTCTTTCACTTTGGCATATGAAATAATTTGAGTATGCATATGAAATCTTGGGAGATTATGATGGATGTTAGAAGAAAATATTGTGCCTAAGCGATATAATGTATAACTGTTTTAATTATAATTAGAATACCTGTGGAAGATCATACTAAGTATTTCCCCAACATTGGAATCCTGCCAATTTTATTCCTCGATGCTCTAGCACTTTAATCAAAGCCCAACAAGTATTTTGTATTTCTCTGCATAGATCAAAAAGTTGAGCTAAACTCAGTCATACCTTGACAGCAAATATTAAAGGATATGCATCCTAGTCTTCAACATATAACTTGGGAGTAAACTTGTTTCAACGTTTACCACCATGCAAATATGTTTAGTATAGCAGTAATAGACATATATTAAGAAGTAGGGCACAAAATTCTTCTAATTTCTTTCTTTCTCAATTTCAGGAAGGCAAAGAACAAGTTTAACACACTTAATTTTTTTTTTTCTTGAGTAAGTGTAGTCTTCAATTCACATGATTACTGGTATTAAATAAAACTTTATGAAAGCCCTCTAATAAGCAATTTTATTCCTAACCATGATGGCTGACAATGACAAAAACAGAATGTATCTGAGATCATTTTTTAAAAAATAACTTACAAAGCAGTGATACACAGCGCAAAACAGGTTGGATGGGAAGAAGGAAGCAGTTCTTTTGAAAGATAAAATGTAAACGTAAAAAAGATGGAATAAAAGTCCCTATTTCTTATTTCTACTTAAGATGTCATGTGATATTTTACAACGTCCTGCAGGTCTATATATGTATGTGCTCATATTTAACACACACATACATACACCTATCCCTACATATACATACACAGATAATTGTTTGCAGTTCAGTCTTGGGCAGCTCTGATATGCCACATATTATAGCTGAAATCAGATCAAGACCCACTTTCTTCACAAGACAGGGAAGATGGATGGAAAATAATGGTGGGTCCAAATGTGGCAGAAATCTTTTCTGTTAAACTGTACACAGGGATGAATATTTTTTTTCTTCTTTAGTAGCTCTCTGGAGAGGGCCAACTCAGTGCAGCCTTCACGAAGAAACTTGGTTTTGGATCACACACTCATTGTCATGCTGGGGGAATACTGAAAAATAGGAATCCACATTTTAGCTACAACTCATTTACCAAGATATTAATAGTGAACATGAAATGCAAGTATCATGATTAATAATAACAACTTAACATATGACTACTACTCCTAATTTAACATAACAATTTAACATAATGTGATATGTATCTGGCTTACCAAGAATAAGAACATTTGTAAACTATAAATTGATTTATATCCCATTTTATTCTATTAGAATATTAATATTTGGTTTTAATTCAAGAACTTTTTGAACATCTTAATTCAAACAGTAATAAGAATGTCTACTTAGAGTAATACTACTCTATCTGTAGTAAGTTGTTAATTCTAACAACATTTCATTTAGAACAAAATTGTTGATAGACTGATGGGCAAGTGTTATTTTATTTAGAATTAAATATGAATCAAATAACTCTTCCAAAATCAAGTATATTTTAAAGTGTCATAAATAAGTAGTTGGCAAAAATATATCTTAATAAACACTAGTTGGCCTAAACAAATTAATTCTAAAAACTATTGCTCAGAATATTATTTCCATTTCATTGTTTGGAAACTACCTGATCATTATTATCCTTTCCATACAATAATTGAATCCATGGGGAAGATATAATTTAATATGACATGTATCATTTATTTTAATTTGGTTCTGCTGCTTATTATGCCATATACATTTCTGATTCTTTTTCTGTCTTTATAACCTCAAACTGGGTAAATTTGTTCTAACCTACAACATGGAAATATATATCCCCTGTTGTTCTTTTAAATGTATTCTAAGGATCAACTCGGGAAATGTTATGCAGAATATTTAGCCCAATGTTAGCTAAATGTTTTGTGGAAGAAATTGTGAGGCTATCAATTATTTCAATACATTGAGAAAAAAAGAACCTCTAAAAATGAGCTATATTTCAAACAAAACATCTTTCATACTGGCCCTCCTGATTCAGTAAGATCTTCAGATGAAATGTAAATTAACAGAATACATTTAACATGAGTAAAGTAGATAAAATGGAAAATTATTACTACAATTATGTGAAATTATATCAATTTTTATTTAGAAAAATTGAAATTAGTGCTTATAAGTGCACATCATACTTTTTATTTTTTAACAAAATAATAATACAAGTGATAACATAGGCAAAAAAACAGATTTTTCCTTATATTACCACTGTTATAGTTTTTATTTTTGTTTATTGATAAATAAAAGAATGAGGAAAGAAATTTCAATTTATTACTATTACATACTTCTTGGGCAGTTGATTGCCCTATCTTCTTTGATATAGGTTCAAATTTGTTGGAACATCAGAATTAACTTTGAATGCAGAAATATATATAATATATAATAACTGTACGTCCATTTACTGAAAAGTAAACCTTGTAGCACTCATTCACATGTTTTACAATATTGTATACCTAGATTTTCATTTAAAAATTCAGAAAAACTTAGTGGCCATAAATACTGTACAAAAATGATTTAAGAAGATTGTGGAAGTTGAAAAAAGCGGCTGGGACAGGTACCTCCAGAAGATCATTTAATTGGTCTTCTTACCCACCCAAATGATTTTTGTGAATCCTTCTACCTCCATCATTCTATGATGCTAATAAATATGTTCAGAGTTATCTTACTATAATCAGCATACGAAGCAAATGTATCGTGTATGTATCATTCCTAGTAATACTATAGGCAATAGCAATGGAAACTGCAAAACAAGCTTAACAAATATCAAAAGAAGTTTTAATAACTTGATTTCTTTCCACATTAAACATACAGCCCTTAATCTATTATGGGTACAGGAATTCATAAATATTATTATACACGGCAACACCTAAAATGATGAGGTAGAGCTGTATATCTAGCAGAACAACCAGATTAAAAAAATAAAGTACTTACACTTTCACTCTGAAAAGGATTTAGAAAGTTACCCCCCATTTCACCATCATCTCGAGGGGTCCCAGGCTGATTGCTCATACTCATATTACTTGGAGAATTCTATTTGGAAAACAAAGAAAGGAAATCAAAAGCATAAATCATATTAAACTTTTTAAAAGCATCCCATGAGAGGTACTTTTCTTTCACCCACAAGTACAATGCCCACATTCTCAAGCGTGAGAGAAACACACATTCAATAGGGATTATCTTATATTTGCCAGTCTGTCTAAATACACTGAGTGGGGAAAGGTTCCTCTTGTACACCTGTATGTATTATTTAAGCCCAGTTTCATGTCCGTATTATAACTTTGGCAAAAATCACAAAGTCATGAGCAAGGCTGAAGTGCCAAACCTAAGAACTGTTCTGAAGCCAACCATGACATTTTCATTCCTCTTAGCATTGAAATGCTGACAGATGTACAGAGATTACATGAAACCAATCCATCATCTCTTAACTGATCAGTCAGAGATTGCAAAAGTTGTATTCAATAGTTCTGAAAAAGTTTTTCAATCCTGTATAGCTGTTTTCAATTTAACTTTCTTTTTCTAAAGATTGTGGTAGAACAGAACAAGAAACATGATTTTGTTTCCAAAATCAGAGAATAGATTTTGGAAGAAAATTATGGTAGAGTAAAAAATGAAAATGAAAGTAAATGAATGAAAGTAAAAGTAAAAATGAATACAAGAATGGAAACAGGAACCTATATGTAAAAACCATTAGAAGACAGATTAATTTCCCAAGAGAATGATGGAAAGAAGATGAAATCAAAGTAAGAATAGTTATATTACAGCATTACAGATATGTGTGGAATTATGCTTATGCAAAGAGGATGATTGGATGAGGAAAATGCACTTGAGAATGTTGCATAAAATGAGAATGAGAGAAATGGAAATGGAAAAAAAGAAAGCTTTAAGTACAGAGTCAAAGAGAGCAAAAGTGGTTTAAGATGAATAGAAGAGAAAATGTTAACAGATATTAACATTGGTTTTGAAATTCTGTAAGGAGGACTAAGTAAGATATATATGTAAAAATGAATGGGATTAAAATAATATCTAAGACAAAATGTATTAAAATGAATTTATAAATGCCATAAGGATGCTGAAAATGGTACAGCTGCAGGTATAAATAGTTAATAGGAGAAATGTTAAAACATGGATATGGTTTCCTCATGAAGTGGCTGTATAACTTATTGAATATCCTGTTATTATTATTTCATTACACAAAAGAAAATATAGCAGGAACTGATACAAAAACTATGGGGGATTTGTTTAAGTGTGCCTAGAGAAGCATATGGCAGAATTTGGATTTAAAGAGGTGATAATGAACAAATCTGTTAAGAACTGCATGGTTTTATTATAAGAGTGGTTTACAGACCAGATTTTTGCTTTTCAGCAAATCATTGAGAATGTATGAATGTGAGAAAGAAATTTCACTATATGTTTGTTGATTTAAAGAATGTAATAAAGTAAATATGCTTAAATTATGAAATGTTTTTCATAAATATTGACTGGATGTTGATTGCTGAAAATGTTAACAGCAGTATATAAAGGAAGTAAGGCATTTGTGAAAATAAATTGAATGCTTAATACATAGTTCAACACTGAGCAGGGAAGTGAGTGTCTCCTTGTTTGTTGAAGATAAATGTGCAAGGAATGCTTATGGTGACAGCAAAATGTTGGCTGGGTACAGTAATATATATTTTTGCATGCAGACATGTAGTATAATTGACTGAATACCCAAATGTCATGATAATGGAACTATATGGATGTGCAGGAAATAAGAATGAAATGTCCAAGAAGTATATAGTGAGAGTTTAGGCCTAAAACTAATTGTTAACAATTTTCTTCTTTTTAGCTGATCCTCTTAATTTATTTGACTAGTCCTTGCTTCTGTTCTGCATTGTGTCGTTTTCCTGAAAAGGAATAAGGTGATGAATATGTATGCAGGAATTCTTTGAAAAGAACAACTATGAATTTTAAGAAGAAAAGAACAAACTTTAGCCAGAATCACCCATAGTTTAAGGAGGAAACCCTTATAAGTCAAGGAAAAACACTTGGAAAAATGCAAGTATTTTAATTTATACCTTTATACCTTTTTTAGAATGAAGGCTCATTCATATCTACATTTCTATGGTTTGAGACACAAATGTAGTAGTAAACTGAAAATTAGGTTTTAGATCATGAGCCACAGATAGAAACAATGTATACATTAAGATTTCTGTTGTTAGGAAATTTGGGAATACCTTCAAAATCAGCATAACCATTTTCATTTTAAAACAGGTATTTTAACAGTCCTTTTGTTTAGGGGAAAAGCAATGTTAAAAATGAAATTTATACTTACTTTGGAGATACTGTCCATGTCTCCTGAGCCTTAAATTAAAAAAGAAACCTCAGTTTAATTAAATCAATTTAAACAATGCATCCATTCAGTTAACTCTTAAAACATTTTCATTTTGCCACGCTAATGATTTTAGATTTAGAGGTCTCACGTGCTCTCATAGCAATAGCACTTAGACTTATATACTGCTTTACAGCTCTCTCTAAGTGGTTTAGAGTCAGCATATTGCTCCCAACAATTTCATTCTACCAACCTTGGAAGGATGAAGGGCTGAGTCAATCTTGAGCCAAGTGAGATTTGAACTGCCAAACTGCAGGCAGCTGGCAGTCAACAGAAGTAGCCTGCAGTAGTGTACTCTAACTATTGTGCCACTGTGGCTCATGTCTGAGACCCTAGTTCTTTTTCAGATTGCTTTCTGAAGAATTGAAATAAATACATTTTTAGAAATCCTAACCTAAGAGGTTACAAGAATGTAAGGAATAATGCTCTATGTAATCCCAAACTACATGAAGAATAGGTTTTATGTAATTGTATTTCATGCTGCGCTTGTACTGATGGCACTATCTCAAATAGTATTATTCAAATAATGTTTATATGCCTTTTCCAATGATGTTAGCATGCCTGCTATTACAATTATTTATATGCTGCCTAGTCAAAGAAATCAGGAGGTCTTATAGTAGTTCAATTAAATACATCCATAAAAATTATAAATGCTAAATCATTAAGTATTTTTTAAAGGCTGCTGCATGCTTCCACTTAAACTCAATTCCTAAAAGCTCAGTGGAAGAGGATGGCTGGTGGCTAAAAGGATGGAGGTTAGCCTCACCTGACACAATGAACTATTCCAGAGTGAGCTGGCTCCTGCTGAGAAAGCCAATCCCTTGACCACTTTCAGAATGGGGAGCTGCAGCTTTCTGTTCTGGCCAGCCTATTTAGATTCTTTCCAAAGAAGGTGGTAAACTAAGGTGGTAAACTAAGGATCAACTTCTTGAACTGAAATCTGTCGCCAAACAAAGTAGCTCTCATGAAATAGATGCTTTATAGGCTAGCAAGGACAACAGTTAATATCTTTTTTATGCTATCTAGAATTTCCAGGTCATTTTGAGGGCAGTCCCAAAATGTTGAGTGAATTGCAGTAGTCTAACTGAGAGAAAACAAAAGTATAAATCTTATTGATTGGCCCAGGCTGAACCTTTTCTTCAAAACATTGATTGGAATTGCTTGCCCTGGAGGAAGCAGAACCATCACATCATAACAGGGGTGACAAACTCAAGGCCCGCAGGCAGAATTTGGCCTATGGAGTCCTTAGGTATGGCCCATGGGGCCGGCCTGGAAATAGCAAAGGACCAGCCTGCAGTTCCTCTGCTAGCAAAAATGGAGCTCAGCCAGCGTCCCAATTTCAGCCACGACGGCCTTCTGCAGCCCTTTGCCACCCTGACTGGCCCTCAATAAAATTGAGTTTGACACACCTGACCTACGGCATCCCAAAAATCCAGCCCTCACAAGGTTACCATAATTGATGGCTATTGAAGCCAACAGGATGAGGAGAAAAACTTCAACTTCCTCCCTTCTCAATATGTGCAAAAGATAACATACAAAGCATAGATAATAAAATCTATAATTTAAAAGATGTCCCTTTCATAATCCTCTGACTTATTTTTTCTAATTTAGGGACGTCATCTTTATTTATAACTTCTAACTGCCGAAAAAATTTGAAAAAGTAATGAAAAAGTTCAATATATTTTAGCACAGGATTTAAAAAGGCAGATTATATTCTTACCTAATGATCCATTCATATGATGTGAATCCATTCCACTTAATCCACCCATTGGACCATCTGACCCTGGTCCCATTGGAAACTGCAAAAAGGGCAAATGCATCATACTCCAAAAATGTTAATAAATAATTTGTAACAAAGAGGAGAAAATATGATAGAGAAAATACAACTCACAGAACATACTAAAGAAAGAGGTTGAGAAAATGACTATGGTATCTCTGTAATAGATAGATAGATAGATAGATAGATAGATAGATAGATAGATAGATA